AGGAAGGAAGGAAGGAAGGAAGGAAGGAAGGAAGGAAGGAAGGAAGGAAGGAAGGAAAGCGGAAACCAACAAAGGAAGGAAAGATAGAAAACAGAAAGAGAAAGAAAGAAGGAAGGAAAGGGAAGAAGGAAGGAAAGAGAGAGAGAGAGGATGGATGGAAGGAAGGAAAGAGAGAGAGGGAGAGAGAAAGGAAGGAAGGAAAGAAGGAAGGAAGGAAGGAAAGCAGAAAGAAACAAAGGAAGAGGGAGGGAAGAAAGGATGGAAGGGAGGAAAGAAAGGAAGGAAGAAAAAAAGAAAGAGGGAAGGTAGGAAGGAAAAACAAAAAAGAAAGAAAAAGAAGGAAGGAAGGAAGGCACGAAGGAAAGGGGGAAAGAGAAAGGAATGAACAAAAGGAAGGAAGGAAGGAAAGACAGAAAAAAGAAAGAAGGAAAGGAAAGGAAAGAAGAAAGAGAAAGAGAGAGGGAGGGAGGGGAGAAAAGGAAGAAGGAGAGGAAAGAAAAGGGAAGGGAAGACCCAAAGTAATCTAGGGCATTCCCCCCCCATCAGAACTGATGAAGCTTCTTGGATGAGAAGCAAAATGTCTTCGAAGAAAACATCAAGAAATTCCAATTGTCTTTTGAAGAACAAAAAACACCTTTTAATTTAGAATGATCCTCAGTGCTAGAAGCAAGAGGGGAGGGTTGCTCTCTGTTTATCATTCCTCTCAGCACTGATGACATTCTCTAGTTGAGTCATGAGATGTCTGCAAGAAAACCACCCAGCTCAGAGAACACCAAGGATCCCACAATCTTATTATTTTTCCTCCTTAATATAAATTACCTCATTGGTTTTTTTTAAATTCCTTATTATAAATTCCTGCATTTAAACTTTTCTTTTTTCAAAAAAAATATGTTTGATTATAAATTTTATCCATTTGATATTTCGTAGGGTTTTTATCCCTTTTTCATAGTAATAATTTAAATAAGAACAATAATCTAATTTAAATAATAATAACAATAATAACAACAGAATAATAAACAAGACCATCATAATCATTCATTTCATAATTAAAACAGTTTATAAGAGCAAGCAAAAAAGATATTTTAGAGAATGGGGGAAATGGATGCAATTTTCAGTAAAACCGATTATTTCCCCACCAAGGAAACCCTTTACACTTTACAGATTAAGGAGATAGGTAGGTAGGGAGGTAGGGAGGGAGAGAGAGAGAGAGAGAGAGAGAGAGAGAGAGATAGGCAGGCAGGCAGGCAGGCAGGCAGAAATATATAGAAATAGATATAGATATAGATGTAGATTAGATATACAGATATCTATATCTATCATCTATCTATCTAAATCTGTATCTATCTATAGATGGATATATTCTATTCTATTCTATTCTATTCTATTCTATTCTATTCTATTCTA